CCTGGGTTGGTTAACACTACTTCTTTGCCCCCCTCTCCCCGTCTCCCATACCCCCTCCCCCCCTGGAATCATCGGTCCTGTTGTTTTCTCCTCCAGATTGTTTTTCCAGCCTATCTTATCTAGATAGACCTGCAGAGATAATATTATGCACAAAAAACCAAGACAGCACCAAACAAAGGGGCACAGGAAAACAAAATGACAGCAACAAAAAAACCAATGACAAAAAAACACACCCCAAAACAACAAAAAAGAAGAAAAGCCTGTAAATAGTTCAAGGTCTGTTTGTTGACCTTTAGGAGTGTTTTCCGGTCAGGTCTGATGGGGTGCCACGCCCTGGCCCCAAAGTCTATTTTTGGTTCTCCCTCAGGACTTACTTGTTCTCCTCCCCTTGCTGTTCTATTGCACGCTCTTAGTGTTTTACCTCTGTGTGATGGGGTCAGATCGGGTACAAATCCCACACAGTGTCTCCAGTGTTGTCCTCTGTAGGGCTGTGGGTCAGTGTGGGATGTCGTGTCTCATAGTGGGGCCAGTCATATGGTCCTCTCTGTGCATTGCCTGCTCTGAGTGGGGTTATCATCCTCAGGATTTGGTGGGCCAGGATGTGCTCCAAACCCTTCCTCCCCCTTCATTTGCTTCCGCTTCTGTCTGGGTCTGATAGGTTGGCTCCTTTCCCCCACCAGAAGGTTTAATGTCATTCTCTGTGGCAAACACTTCTAAGGTGGGGGTCAGGCTGGTTCTGGTTGGGGCAGGCCTTATAGTCCAGTCTTTTCATGGATTCCTCCACATGTTACGTTGCCCTCCTGATTTGGTGCGTGATGGTAGGGTATGTATGCACATTCCATTTGTGGAGACACAACCAATATTCTCCCCCTGGGTGGGTTAGTGCCCTGTTCCCCCCATGTTATCATCCCAGTTTCTCCCCACGCCCATTCTCCCTCCTCCTTTTCCCTTCCCCTTCTTTATGATGGACTCACATGTACCTCCCTGGGTATGGTCTGACCTCCCCCCAACTACCTAGGCTTCCACCTGTGTATTGTGAGTAAAGTGTCTATTCTTTTTTTTTTTTTTGTCTATTCTTCTATTCCTGTTGTGCTGATTCTACTTACCTCAGGGGACTCATGTTATACTTGTCCTTTTGAGATTGGATTACCTCTCTTAACATGATTCCTTCCAACTCTTCCCATGAAACAACGTGTTTCATGTGATCATCTGTGCTTTTCAGTGCTGCATAGTACTCTATTATGTGTATGTGCCGAAGTGGGGAAAGAATTTTCAAAAGGAAGTCCACAGGAACAGTTCTACACTCGTAGGTTCACTATGTGTCAGAATTAACTCCCAGTGAACTTGGAGCTACTACTTAGCAGATAGCTTGCCATCTCTGCAGACACGCCCAGCAATCTGCTTCTGAAAAGCCACAGCCCTGACAACCCCGTGGAGCCTAGTGCTCCTCTCCACACCTGGGGTCGTCAGGAGTCGAAACAGACTCAATGGCAACTAACAACTAGCTATGGGTTCACATCTTATTTCTATGGGAAAGCACTGCTGTGTTCTTTGAATTCTCCTATTCTGCCTTAGCTACCACTTCACCTTGCCCCACGAGGTTCCCCAAATTGTTTTGAGCACCACTTTTATTTCCTAATCCCTGGGAGTTTATTCTTCCTTCCCAGGTAATCACACCATTTACTTTATACAGTCAGAATATGTGGGTTTGAGGTTCTGATACCTTAAACCAGGGGTGTCAAACTGGCAGTCCCCGAGGTAATTTTTTGTGGCTCGAGATGCTCTGAAATAGCAAAAATTGTTATGAAGAAAATAGCGCTTAGGGGAGATGGAGGCAATACCGTACACACAATTCCCTCTTTAACCCTTTAACTACTGAAGATGAGTAGACGCGTGGCCCAGTGCCTTTCCTGGGGGGCCGTGGACATGTATAAACGCGCTGACTCAGTTCCGGCGACGTTTGGAAGCGATATGTCTGCCACTCTCAGTGCCACGTAATGTGAACAGATCTCAATAGCGAAAAGATTAAAAGAGCACTCTGGGTTGTGCTGTTATGAATCATACCTAGTGGCCGCGCTAGTTAACATTTTTAGAGGAAAGCCATTACGATTGTGCATCACGTTTGTCAGCTGTCCAACATATTGTGTTTTTTATTAGTTACTTTGTTATATTTTCTGGTCACAACCTAAGAGGTAAGTGAAAACTAGTAGGAGGAAAGTGCTGGCAAGTTTCGTGTAAAACAGAATAATTTTAGTTTTATAAATATATTAAATAAAATAAATGTTTAAATAAAAGC